CAGCAACATAAAACATTTCCATATAGGCCTTCTCAAAGGGGTTCCAGAAGCACACGCCCTTCTGTGCTGCTGGGCCGCCGCTCACTCTTGGCTGCCCCTCCGTGCCCTCCAGTGCCAGCGCGGCATGGCGTTGTCCTGTGCCTTGTGTGTGGCCACAGTCACAGCAGCCCTGCGGAGCGCCTGCGCAGGCCGCCTGCTGCCCACGACTCTCGTGCTCTCGCCAGCTCTTCCAGGCCCTCCTGTCTCACACTAACCGTTTGTTCTGTCTCTCTGCTTCCAACTGGCATTTCACACTTCACTTTTCTTACCTGTTTTGTGTGTGTTTTTCTCCCTGGGCTTCAGGCCATCTCAGTCTCCCCAAGGCCTGCCCACCTGACTACCTTGGCCTTGTTCTTCCTCCTGACTATTGAGCTGTGGTTATCAGTTTTTAATCTAATGATATTTGAGTAGAATAAAAGCAACTCAAACATAAAAAATAACAAATATGAAAATTGTTACAAAATCAAAACATAAATATAATACAAATCTCACCCAAAAATACCATAATATGTCACTAGCAAAATTCTGACGTTTTTATGAACAAAGACTGGGGCCTGTACAGTGGAGAGCCCACTCCTGTTCTCTCTCTCACCCTTGACTATCTCCTAACTTCGGCTGTCTTGTTCTTTATCCTGCACCCTCTAGCACTCCACTTGGGCCCTTGTAGCCTAAATCCTTACCCTGTATTAAGAACCAGTCACCAGCCACCAGCCGGCTTGTAATCCCAGCGCTTGGGAGGCTGAAAACAGGAGGAGCGCTATGGGTCCAATTTATGTAGTGAGACCCTGTAGACCCTGTATTAAATAAAAATAAATAATATAAGAACCAGTCACCAAAACACTAGAACAGCTGTTCCACCAGTTTTCCTAAAATGCTTCGGTTCATGTCAGTCCCCGCTCACAAACCTGCAGCAGTGTCCCATTCCTGTTGAGTCAGTCCCTGGCACCTTGGCATCCCATTGGACCTTTAATGTTTGATCTCGGTCTCTTCGGTTCAGTTCATTCATATTCATTTCCTGTCTCTCAGAATCCTGTGGATTAAGGTAATCCACATTTCCTTGTCACAGCACTGCTGAATGAGCCCTTATCTCTTACAGAAAACCTGGGCCACTAACCTCTTTTCTGCTAAGCAGGGTCCACTTGCCTCCCAGGCAAGGCTGGGCGTGTGGACTCTCACCCCACTGCCTGCACTTCTCTCTGCACCTGTTTGGTAGGCACGAGTGTAGTGCTCCCTAGAGACGGTGAAAGTTATCTTAAAACTGATGGACCTAGACAGTCACTAGCAGAGTATTTGATACATGTTTCACAAATGTTGTAGTATAAGTCATTGAAGTTACACTTTTAAGTGTAATAGGAAAATTGTAAGTTGTAAGACAATTACAAAATTAATAATAGTATTAGTGCTTTCTTGAGTTTGAAATACTTGGTCCTATTTATAATAAAATATTTTTTGTTCACAGTTATGAGAACTTATCTCCGTTTGTGGCTGTAGGTTGAAAAGGCCAATCTTCACTGCTTTGGGTATAATAACTAGCTTTTCTATCTTATATGTGCAGAAATACAGACAACTTCACGATCACCTTGACTGTGCAGACTGCTTTCAAGAAGAGAAGCTTGACCTGTAACCCCTTTCCCCAGAGAAGATTTTATAAATTCCTATAAATGCAGAGATCGTGAATGAGTCTTGTTTTTCTGTGTCATGTGGCATATTTATATATTTTATGTGTATATTCATAGAAAAATACTTTGTTTAGAACCTGTTCACCTATATTTCTATGAAACAGCACTCTATAGAATGCTGTAATTAAATTTATTTGACATATACATACATTTAACAGGAAAGTCTATAAATGCATTTTAAATTTATCAATGTCTTTAATAAATGACTATCAGTAATGAACTATTCATGTCTATCATTTTATTTAAAACATCGTAGTTTTAAAATGTACTTAAAGAACATATGTGCCTGTATTACTTAATCTCTCTAGGCTTGCTGATTGCTTATGGCAGTCCTAAAGAGGCTCGCTAGTGTGTTTGACTCCTGCAGTCTGGTCCACGGGCCACAGGAGAGACTTCGTTGTACCTGTCAGCAGGCCCTTGGCTCAGCGTTAGACTGAGCTCTCTATTCTGAGTTGAAGAGGAGTGCTCTACACCTGCTTAGGCAAGCGCAGGGACTGGGGTTTGATCCCCAGCACCACATGCCGTGCCAGCCCCGCTCCCCCGGCATGCTGAGCCGGCCGCCAAGACCTGGTGTGGCGGTGCACGCCTATAAGCCCAGCACTGGGAGGCTGAAAACAGGAGGATCACTACAAGTCCACGTTGTTTAGTGAGACCCTGTACCGAATACATTAAAAAAAAAAAAAAAAAAGAGCACTTTATTCCCTTTCTAACATCTTTCTTGCAAATAGATTTCAAGTCTCTGGTCTTTCAATCCTCACATTCAAGAAAAATTCCATGCTGTGTATTTTGTAATTTATAATATTTTTCCATTCACTTCTTACTATATGTTAATGATTGACATGTGGCATTTTATTTATTCCTTTTACTATATCTGTGTATGTTAGGGTCTGAAGCTCTGAGGCAAACCGAGCCCCAAACATTTTAAAGCCACATCACTTTGGTATCTACACTGTACTGCACATCAAAAAATTCCCATAATATAGTGTTACCAAGTGAGTAAATGCGTCCTAGTTATAAATGGTCCTGCCTATTCTGTAACTCTTAAAAGTAGCCTTCCAGGAGGGTATGTTCTGCTGTGAGAGTTTAGAAACATTACTGGAAGTGTTGGTTGAACTTGGCTTCTCTTTTGTGACTCATGGTATGGACCTCACCAATTCTATCCATATAAAAGTGACACTTAACTGAAGTCCTTAAGTGGACATTTGTGAACATTTCCTCAATTTATTTCCTGCAGTTATTTTTTTTTTAAACTAGGCAGGAAAAACAAAATGTTGAGCATGTTCATGTCTAATGAGGATTGCATACATTTTTCAAAAGTAAAATTAAAGTTTCAGGACATACCTCAAATTCATATTTCTCTGGTACAAAAGGAAGGAATATTTAAACTCCAGAAAATAAAATGAAGCCATAGTTAAATGGTAAAGATGAACAATGTCCCAAGAAAAAGATTTAGAAGCGCACTGGTAGGGTGAAGGGCAAAGGTCATGAGCAATTTGTGAGAAGGAAGGCCATGTGCACCACCTCCCCACAGCGAGTGTATGCCTTGCTTTTGGCAGATGTGCTAATCGACCAAGCAAGGGAGAAGGCCCGCTCAGGTACCTGGCGACCATGGTGGTATCAGCTCTCACAGGTGATACAGCAGACAAGCTTAGATGGCTGAAGGAGAGTTTCGATTGTAACTTTTAAAGATAGTATTTATATTAATAGCAATCATTCATTTGTAATTTTAGGAACTTACGAGAGTAGCTGGTTCAGTTCCTGGGTTAAACACATTGTTGGTTTGACAATACCAATTAGAACAGTGGTTGTTTAAACGCTTAGAGATGGTTGTTTCTTATGTTAGAACAACTAATTGCATCTAGACATACTGTTTCATTGGCTATTTGGAGGACATAGGAGACTTTCAGAGTGACAGGCTGCCTACAAGTAAAAGCATGGATTAGACCATCAGTGCAAGTAATTTTTAAAAAGATGTATTAACTGAGATGGGGAGCTGGCTTGGCCCTCTAAGCGCCTGCCTGGCAAGTGCAAGGGCCCGGTTTGATCCTTGGTGCCGTACGCTGTGCCCACCCTGGAGCCCCGAGCACACTTTGGACATTTTGGGTACAGATACTCAAACTAGTCTCCAGAACATGGGACAGCGGGCCAGCCTGTGGAGAACAGGAACACACCAGCCGTGAAATGTTTGCGCTGATTTTGCCCCGTCCTTCTCCGTAGTTTGGAGCAGGATCCTGTTTCGGAGACAGCTCCACCGCCCGAGGCTGCACACCCAGATGGGTACTCTGGGGCGCAGCTGCTCTGGCCCTGTCTTCCCATGCTGCGCTCACATGCAGTTAGCAGACACTCCATGTTAGTCTTCATAGTGACACCGACCCGCAGGAGACACTGATGGGACACTTTTGAACAAGGCCGTCTGAAGATCGCGGAGGTCTTCTCAGCGCGCCCTTGAACTCGGGCCGGCCCCGCGCCAGCTGCTCCTCGCGCTGTGCGCGCACGCCGGGAACCGCGGCTCGGCCGCAGCTTTGTCGTCGCGCGGTCCGGAATCCTCGAAGGAAGCGCCTTCTTCCGACGCGCGCTGCCCGCTTCCCGTGCTCCGGCCGCCCCGCCCCGCCCCGCCCCGCCCCGCC